GCCATTTAGGGTGTTTCATTTGGGGTGGGGGAAGTTTTGGAAAAGGAAAAAAAAAAGGGAAAGGGCAACACTCTTGCACGAAGAAAAAAAAACATCAAATTAAATCCGATGATTTTTTTTTTGCTGATTTTAAAAGAGCTAATATCAGCTGATGAATCAGTCAGCCGCCCTAATCAAAACCGTACCGAAATACATTTTTAAGTACAGTCATAAAATACAAATTGCCAATGTATTGCCCTTTTGTTTTTTCAATACCCTGCATAAAATTTGAACTTCAACAATTCGCCTAGCGGAAAAATGCAAAATGCCACAACTCCCGTTTCAAATCCTAAAATAGCCTCCAACATGTTTGCTTTTTGCCCCCCCCCCTCATAAATACAACATGGCGTCAAGAACAGCAAGAAAACAGCGAGCTCAGCAGACATTTTGTTTTTTTCCCTCATTAATTATCACGCGCTACCAGCCAACTCCGCCACACCTCTGACCCTACGCTCGCCATTTTCTTCCCGGTTTGAACACCCGGCGCCCTCTTCCTTCACCTGAGAAACAACAACGCGGAATCCTAATATCCCCCCCTTCAATGACATCCCTTCGCCGGCTTTCATTGCGTCACGCTGGAAGCCCGCCGAGGTCGTCCGAGGGCTATCGTGTGAGGTAATTCCTAAGTGCTGCTCTCCGGCGCGCACAATGTGTTCATTGTGCGCGCCGGGGCCGTCGCTTTGGAGAGTGACCGCTCGGGTTGTAATGTTAGCGCCCCCCGAGGAGCAAGTTGTCAAGCGGCGAGAAAGCCCGCAAGAATCATACTGATAGAAATAACAGTTGCTTTTAACGGTGAGGGGATGGAGGGGGGCCAGTTCTCGGATCGGACAAAGCCGGGGAGCGCCGCGGCGCTGATCGTAAAGTCTTGGAGTGCACTGAGTCACGGCGTTTTAGAGACGATAAATGGATATGAAAGATCCTTTAACTTTTTCGCCCGTAAACATACCCCGGAGGACACATCATCAAAAAGTCCAGCATAAGAACGCCATTGTGGGAAGATGGGGGGGGGTGTTTGATTATCCCGGGGAGGCCCGCCGGCACCCCGAGCGAAACTTAATGCCCACCCGACGTTGTCATCATTGCCCCTCAGGCACACATCAATCTTAGTTTACAGTGTTAGTCAACGTCGGCATGTTTGGGTTTTTTCATTTTTCGAAACGCAAAATAATAAACTTCAGTGTTTCCCTTTTCCTCGTTAAACGAAATGTTTTTATGAGCCTAGTTCACTCAAGTTTCACAAATCGAGCATTCGCGATTTGGTAATTGTGGCTTTGTCGTCACGAGGTTCGGAGGAAGGGTGTTTAAATTCTCAAAATTTGAGAAAAAAAAAAAAACGACTGAGACAGTTCGAATGTACACTCTTGTGTTCTTTATAATGCTTCACAAAGGCATCGGATCATGAGTCACTACTCGATACTTAAAATCACGGGACTTGGACTTCCCTCCAAAAAAATTGTGACCGAGACATCTCAATATAATATATGAGTCAAGCAGAAGAGGTTTTTTTAAAAATTTTTTTTTAGATTTAGATTTCTTAACTGTAAATTGGGTCAGACTGACCAGGATCACAACAAGAGACTTGACAGGAAATTGACAGTGCCAACTAATGGCCCCGAATGCGTCATCCCAACTCGTAAAAAAAAAAAAAAAAAAAAAAAAAAAAACGACTTGAAATGTTTTCGCAAGCGTGGATGCCTGAGAAAACCACAAAAAGACACACACATTTGTCAAAGTGAACAATTTGTTCGATGATTGCAGCCGCGCAGTACCTACACTCCTCTCACAGGGTCTTGGGTTCCGAGCACAAAAGAAAAAAAAAAAAAAATCGGTGTCGTTTTAAAAAAAGAATCCATTTTCTTTGCATCTGGGGCTTTTGACCACACGCTATTTTAGTTTCCTGAAAGACTGCCTTTTTCCAAGACCTCTGCCAGGGTGTAGGTTGCCCCGAGACTGCGTCACTTGGAAGGAAAGATGTTCTTTTGCCAGACTCGTTTCACACTACACTATCCTTGTTTTTATTTTATTATAAATGATTCATCTTTTCTTCGACGACTTGCCCGTTGTTGTTACTGCGCCTTTTCCAAAAATGACCCTCTTGCGGGGGCTTGTGATTGGCTGAAATGATCTGGACAGTCAAGGGAGGGCGTTCTAGCGCCACCTGTTGTTTTGGGCTGAAATGCTCTTACGACACAATTTCATAAAATTAGAGCCGCCAGCCGTAGCTTTCTAACCGGTGCAAATGTTTTGATGTATTCACTCGGTGTCCAATCGGATTATTGCACACACACAAAAAAATAAATAAATCACACGTAAACACTTCGGGCTTTCCGAGGGGCCCCGGCGGAGACACCTGAAGTACATCTGTTCTTGCACAACGGCTTTCCAATCAAGATGCTGTCACGGAGCACCCGGCCGCTTCTATCTGCCTCAACCTGTCTTCTTTGTCACCAGTTCAGAAGGTTAATGAGAACTCTTATTTCCCAGAACTCACTCCCAACTCACAGGGATGGGGTTGGGGGGGCTGGGGGGAGGGGGGGTTGACGGTCCATACACGTTAAAATGAGATTAAATGTACCTCCCGCACAAATGTAAAACTCGGACGGCTCTCCCGGTGGACCTTCGCCGAGGCCCAACAATCTTGGTTTAGAAAGGAACCACAATGTGGAGAGAACCTCCTTCATATACGACAATGGCGGGGGGGTCAATTTAGCCAGACTATCATCATACCACGTATGTAAGCAACAGAGGTGTCCCCAGTGAGCCACTTTGATTGTGCAGTCGTTTTACAGTAAAGACCTGAAACCTCCAGCGACTTGAAAAACAAGTCCGGCTCATCAGCGCACCTAAATTAGCTTGTTAATTACACTGGTCTGAGACAATGTTCTCCTGCCGTATCGACCTCTTAATGGCTGGAAGGAGGGCCTTAGTCCCATCAAGTCAATGACACGGGGTGGGGAGGGGATCTCTGGGGCTCTGGTGTGTGTATTATGTCATTGCGCCGTGCCCGACAAAGAAACCGGACCTGTTATCCATTCCTGCTTTGCCTCTTTTCGCTCATTAACTATGCAGGAATGAGACGGAGGCCTGGAGCGGCCAGATAAGGCTGCTAGTTGCTAAACGTGTCCGCCTTTGCAAAGATACAACTTCTGTGGTAGCTAAAAAAAAAAAAAAAAAGAGGTAAAATATGCCACAAATACGAAAAAATAAATCACTGCAGATGGTGCAGTGATTTTCATTCAGGAAGTACGAAGGCACCAAATGACACTTGGCACAATTAAGGCCACACTTTGGCCACATCAATTCGGCATCAGCTGGTTACCGGTTTCAAGGTATACACATGTCGCAGTTTGAAAAAGCCACAGTTTGAAAGGTAATTTACGAATTCACATACAGAAGGCACCCAATGGAAAAAAGTTGTGACCCCAACATTTCAAACTGAGAGCTGCAATTGCATGACAGTGATACTGTGCGCCCCCACTCTTCATGGCGGATTGGGACCCGACCTGACCACGAATAAAGAAAATCCACCAATAACCGATGCTCATTATTGCCAGGACGAGTAATCAAGGAATAAGGCAAATAATGACATAAATCGGTAAAAAGAAAATGGTGGACCGTGATAATGCAAGGATCTGCTAGCAAGAAACAAAACATATTTTTGGTCACTGTCGTCATCGTACGATCAGAATCTGATACCAGTTTTTCAACGCCGAAACAGCCACAGACGCAGAGATGTTGAAGTGAACTGCTAAAGTTAGCAGCTAGCTTACTAGCTAGCTAACCGCTGATCAACTGAGCGCTGTTACTTACATAACCCCATGACGGTAACCCCAACCCAACCCTTATTCATACAGTGGATAACATTTACAATTTTTGGCGGTTTCTGGTTTTAATTTAATTACTGTACATTAAAAAAAAATTGTGTCATTCACGGGAAAACGTGTCACAGACTGCATTTGGGGTTCAGCTATACTTAGGTGTATATTGTCACCCAGCACTTAATGCACCAAGCAACTAAATTGTCGTAAATTTCCTTTTCTAGGCCTTTCCCAGAAAGATCCCTCCACCAAAAGTCCTCTCCAGACACAAACACGATCGCCGTCTGAAACACGCAGACCGAGAACCCGCACAAACTGAGTCCCACCACCTTGTTCCCCGCTTTGTTTGACACCCCATCTGACTTGAGGAGGCAGCAGATTAAAGTAAATGGCTTGCGACGTTATCTCAACATTTAGCACACAGCTATGAATGAAAGGGGGGGGGGGGTCTAAAGACTCGCCTGGAAATTTTCTCACAAAAGAAATGTCGCCCTTGTTTTGTTGGGAATGAGGAATGCCCCCCCCCTCCCCTTTTCCCCTTGAGTTGATGTCGACATACCAATTTGATTGAGTTGAGGTCATAGAAATGCCTTTATTGATCATAATTAGCACGCATTATAGTGGTTTTCCTGAAGTCAGTGTTTTAAAGTGAAACATTTTTGGGACTTATGGTTATAATTTTTCTTTGGTCGAACATGTGAAGAATACACAAATGGCACCAATTTGGTAGCACTGGAGAGGCAAGATTGGTTCATGTTTCTGCTCTACTCTTCAGTCAATAACTTGTCTTTTGGCGCTCGATTGTATCGCCCTTTGTAATGCAGTTCTTCAGTTTGACAATTTCCAACTTTGGAAAATCTTTTTTTTCTTATGAAGTGATATTTTGAAATGTATTCATTCCGTTTTTTTTTTGCTCCAGAATTCACCCGAGTGTAATTTTACAAGGTATATTTTCAAGCACCTACCAAGTCAACAATGAATAATAATAATTTTCAAAAATGTCATCTCGGTATGATGTCACATGTTGATAATTGCCTGAGAGGTTGAACCAGAGTTTTTATTGATTCACGACTCCCAGGAGGAGTTAATAGTCCAACTTTTCTCCCAAAAGTGCAAGCTCCCAAGAGGTCATGCGAACTTTACCTTGAGCCAAGGCGGTGCGGACCGTAGCGAGGAGCAGAAACGGCAACAACGCCGGCAGGGTGAACATCTCCGGCGGCGACCTCCTCGCTTCTCTCCGGGCGTCTCGATTAACGTCACGGTCCATGACGGAGGAGCCCAAATTGCGCTCCCCGGGAGGCTGCCTGCTCGTTTGTTTCTTTGCGCACACAGATGATGAATTAAAAAAAAAAAAAAAAAAAACTTAACAGCCTCCGAAAAGTATGGTGCCGTTAATTAATCCAAACAGTTTTGCGGAGCTCCGCCAGAGAGGACCGTCGGCGTTAAAAATCTCTGCCCGTCAGCTGCACACTTGAGAAGCTCACTTGTGGATCGACGACCCGGTGCCGGACGCATGCTCCGGTTTAAGTCCCCCCCGCGCCCCACCACCACGCCGGTGACTCGCTGCTGTCCCCCCTAAAATTCCACGTTGTGTGCGAGCGTACGTGTTTGTCAATGTGCCTGGCGAGAGTGGGGGGGTACGTATGCGTGACTGTGACTGCGTGCGCGCTCCTGCCGCTGACTGTGGACTGAAAACAGAAAGGAAAGGAGAGGAGAGGTCTCTGCGGGCTACCTTTCCTCCTTCAGCCAATCCAAAGGCTCCTGCAAAGTGGCGGCGCGTTGGCAAAACCTGGCGTGGATGACGCCGGTGAGAGGGAATGGACGGAGGGGGGAAGTCGTGTGCGGCATACACGCGCGCGCGCGCGCCCACGCAGACACGCGCATACATATCCATGCATTCATACCCATGCGCCATCATTAAACGTCGCTTCCACCAGGAATTTCCTGACGGGTGCCGAGGCGGCACACTTGATGTGGATGGGTGAACTTGTAAAATGCAACTTTAGTCGTTCGTTTTGTTTGTTTTTAATGTAGCCGACGTCCAAAATGGGAGTGGTACGGGAGTGGGAGTCATTCTCAACGGAGTGGAGGGGGGGAGGGGGGGGGACATTTTTTTTTTCTGATGTGGGATGGAACGATGATTAAAAATCCATATTAGGGGTTTGTCTGTGCACATGCACATCCATCCATCCATCCAATGACATACATTTTTGTTTGGTAGTGTGTAAAATGTCAAATATGCGCCTTGGCTCAATCAGGGTTGACCAACACCTGAGCTGTACAACTCATCTCATTTACTTGTACAGGTGTTTATATAAATCTCACGGCACGGAGGAAATTTACTTGGGCGGTTCTGATTTGAGGCGGATTTTCTCTGAATGACAGATGCGGAAGAAATACCGCCTCCCGGTGATTCATGCAAAATGTGCGCTTGACACTATCTTACGCCAAAATGAAATGTGATGACTTTTAAAATATGAATCTAATTCTCGCGGCCCTCCGTCACCATTTGCCGGAGATGTCAGCGGGCAGCTGTCATCGCTTTCAGCTTCTGGCTTTCATGTAAGGGCGATGCAGGAAATTACTCCTGTCTGGCCTGCTGGGATGAGCGGGGGATCCTTTCAGTTTTTTGGACGCTTGCATTCAAACGCAGCAGAATGTAGAACACTTTGGGGTGGAAGGTGACGTCAACACAGCGGGACTAGTCCAGCCCTGCATGATTTCACCCCTATCATCACATTCCGTATCATCTCATATCGGTTCGATATGAAAAGCCGAGGAAGGAGGGCGAGGTTGCCGTCATCCTTAAACAATGCTGAAACCGCCGCGCGTGTGAAACCCTATCTCCAGCCGCTTATATCCACTTAACCCTGCCGTCGGCGTGTCACGGAGCGGCAATTCTCCAATTGGGCTTTATTTTTCCGCTTTGCGATGGCTCATATAAACTATCCTTTTTGTTTTTTTTTTTTTTTTTTTTGCTGACTGGAGCGTAAAGAAATAAACATGGAGCTCAGCTGCTGATGTTTCTAGTTCATCTCCATGAAGGTTGAATAATGTACACTGAGACTCAATTGCCATTTATTTGTTGCTACCTTGAACACATATTAGCATTGTTGGCAAGCGGCGCCACGACGGATCAAGCAGATGGCGCTGTGTTGTTGGGAAAAAAAAAAAAAAAAACTGCCGTGCTGAGAAAAAAAATTCTTTCCGTCAGATGCCACAGCATGCCGCCACACCCCTAGCCAAGAGGAAAGTAGTAATTGGCATCAATGAACTCGGAAGAACACAAAAGACCGTTTTGACCTTTGACCTCAGGTTTTCGTAATAAAACGAGGCGCATTTATTTTCGCTATCTCCTGGGCAAAGGGAAAATATGTCAGCAATCACGGTTAATTTTTTTGATTACGTGCCCAGCCCGACTTAAAATCGTCTCAGATGCTCTTCAAAATAACGGGAAATGAATCCCTGATCATTTTTAAATAGATAGTCAGAGAAGAACGTCAACAAAATGACATACAGGAAGCCTCGCTGCCTCGACCAAAAAGACAACAAGACACCGAAGGCCTCCCCGCTCACTCGTGGGAGCCCTGAAGCAATATGGCATCTAGAGGAGGCGTTAAAAAGCGCAATATGACAAAAATGGCGAGCGGTGCGAGAAGTGTGAATGCCACCCGGGTTGGTAACACCTCCAGCCCTTTTCCCCCCCCAACCCGCCCCCCTATACCCCCTGTTACATGTCCATGTCTGTCAAGAGCGATGTCTTCGGGAGTGCCGCTTGATGGATGTTAGTCTCAAAGGAAATCCGACACTATAATGCATGATGACCCAGACTCGTGGAGAGGAGTGGGGGTGGGGAGGGGGAGGGGGTCCGAGCTCAGCAAAAAAGATCAGTCAGATTGGGCAAAATACTTCCCTATTTAAGTGCAGGAGCAACAGAGGCCTTGAAGTTTATGTGCATGCTTTATGACTCACGGAGGCCTGTGTGTGTGTGTATGTGCGTGTGCGTGTGCGTGTGCGTGTGTGTCTGCTTGAATCACAAAAAGCCTCAGAAAAGGAAGCAAAATGACGTTTTAAAACCACATTATTGTGCAATAAAACGAGAAATGCTTGAACTGAGAAAGTGGGTTGAATCCAATATCGGCGATTTCTTTCAAGTTTACCCTAGGCATCAATAACACAATTAGCCTGGCTTCTTTGAGTTCCTCTACTACTTTGTGCTCTCGTTGCACCACGCTGCCTCTCACAGGTCAATCTTGGTACTACAACAGGCACGGTCGTGCGTGAACGTCAGCACATACCAGCGGATTTTGTTGGCTGTCTCTCACGTTTAAAATAATCAATAGGTGCAGCCCCCTTTTGTCAGGTGTCCCTAATGAAGGGGCCTGTGATGCATCGTCAAAATAGTTCAAGGTCTTCGAGGTGAACCGATTTCCTTTCGCCTAATGGAGCCATTCAGCTTAAAATATTAGAAAATCCACCACTTCACTCCAGACAGAAGAAGGAAAAAAAAAAGAAGACTCACAACGACTATTAGATGTCATTCAGACTGCATTTACCAGCCTTACTCAGAGCACTTTGCATTATCGGATTCCACCGTACCGACCTTGCGGAAATGTGTAAAATGACCACGACCTCTTGGCGGCACGTCAAGAAACGGTGGTGAGAGATGTGCTACAAATTTCACGGTAGAATCACAAAGTCCTGCGCGGGGCCGATAAACACTTGACTGGGCTCTGATGTGGGGGTCATATCACTGTCGAATTATCCGGAGCGTGAAGTCGTAGAAATTGGGGAGCGCAAAACTCCACCAAGGAACATGTGCTAACAATGCTAATTTATGCTAGGTTAAATGGGCTTTGTGTTGAGTGTTAGCATGAAACTGGCAATGTACACTCTAAATATGGCGGATTTTTGCTATTTACGGGCAAGGTCCGGTTCCTTTCCCCCGCGCAAATAGTGGGGATCCACTGACTTTGCTTTTTTTTTATACTGCACTCCAGACGTCCCATAATGCATCCGTCCACTCAGCGGACGGCCATCTCTTTGCCGTCAGGCAATGGCTCAATTAGACAAGGAGACAGACAGTCGGACCAGCCCATAAACAAACAAACAAAATGGAAGATGCTAATGCACGAGGGTCGTAATGCAGTTTGGAAGATGGAAACTCTTCCTAACACTCACACACACACACACACACACACACACACACACACACACACACACACACACACGCACACACACACACAATCACACACAATTGCACATGCACGCCTCGGCACAGTTCTAATTTTAAAGATAAGCATCGGAGGGCGAAAATGCAATAGGAAATTAATCATAGGTGTGAATTAAGTCACCTTTGGGGGGGGTATCCGTCTTTCTCAGTCCCCGACTTTACAGCCAAGGTAGGACACTCCAGTCGCATGAGTTGACTCGAGTCAGCCTTGTGATTTGCTTTGCTGAAACGTATGACAGACGCAACTTTTAAGGCAAAGGATATTTGAACACACACACTGTGCAGCAACACACGTAGACAGATAATAAAACAATCCTCGCAGGGCAAATATTCTTTATCCCATGCGGCAAGCGACAGATATTACGAAAGATAATTGTGTCACTTGCAGTAGTTTGGGTGAAACGTGCATCTTTTGTTTGCATGACGATATCACACTGCCATCTGGTGACCAATTTGTGCACACCAGTTGGGGGTGCGATTAAAATGATGATGCAAGTGTTTCATTCTTTGCATTCTATTTCAATATATTATCACAATATGTGTTTAGAAAGCACAAAATTACAGCGGGCCAAATATTTTTTTTTTATTGATATTGTGCTGTTGGGATGAAACCCTGTGTATGTCCAAATATAGTCCTTTTTTTGTTTTTAACAAATCATCAGACCCCACATAATTAATATTATGATAATAATGATTTAAAAAAAAAGAAGTATATTAACTGTCTTGGAACCGTATGAGATGGCGATCCAACGATTCCGCCCGAGCGTGTCGATATGTGACTTACCGCCCCCGCTGGACGGCATGACCGCTCGCGTAGGTGTCTCAACAGTAAAGCTGCTCGCCATCAGCTTTGGGCCCTTTACTGCCGCTTTTGATATCAGTATTAAAAGTGATTTGCGGCGCCGTATGTGGCAAGGAATCAAAACTTAATTTAGGCAGATAAAGATGCCATTTGGGAGGGAGATAAAGTGCTGCATCATGGGAGATGTGTTCCCCGGCGTGCTCTCAGCGCCTCGCCCTTACAGCACCCTCAGATTTACTGGCTCTCTTTTTTTTTTTCCCTTTCCTTCCCCCCACTGCTCCATAAAACAGCAAATCTGCTCACCAGGCGACACAGGAAAATGTTAATGGATTCATTTGTCAAGAACCTTCCACTTATTTACAGTCCTCTTCCATTACCGCCGCTACGCCTGCAGGAGAAGAGAGGAGGGGAAAGGGGGAAAAAAACAGTGGCCAAAGTCAAAATATCGATTTGCCTGTCCATCAAGGCAGAGACTTCCTGGAAAACACACACATGCGCGCACACACACGCACACACATAACTTGTTTTTTGTTTTTTTTCCCTTTTTTGTGTCATAGTTTTTAACCGCTGACACAATTGTACATTAGAATTGTGACATATGTCTCTCGGAGCAATTCAGGGATTTAGAGTGTCATTGTCTGTTTGGTTTGCTGCAGTTTTTTTTTTTTTTTTTTAATCTGGATCATCTACAAATCTTTGATTTTGTTCTGTGAAGCACATTGAGTTGCCTTGTGTATGAAGTGTGCGATACAAATCAAGTTGCATTGGCTTGGATACGCTCTTCCGTTAAGGGCTCATTTCGCCAAATTCCCGAGTAGGAGTTTGTCAAATCCAAATGCACACCACAATATTAGCCAAATGTGGCTGTTTGAAAACAAAATGGCCGACTTCCTGTTCAAGTTCGGCTATGGCTGGTTGAGACGATTGGGAACTCCTAAAATACAGACATTTCCACCAGTTGTCAGGGGATTTTTATTTTGTAACTTTTTGCATCGGCACGTGACAGGATAAACACTTTTGAGGCTAATGAGAAAGTTTCAGGGAAAAAAAAAAAAAAAACATCCGAGGACACAGTTAATATACGACCTGATGGCTACTCACGGGCAAAGCGATAATACACAAAACACATTTTATAAGTGCAAAGGCATATATTTTTCAAGCACGTGGCAACATCCTAAAAGTTTTGTGCATGCGGAGTCCCCCTAAAAGGCAACAGTTGCAAGAATAATAAATACAGCTGGTACCGGGCCCCTTTTAAAACTCAAATGTTAATGAACGTTAAACAAGCAGCCGACAAGAGAAAGCCTTCATTTATTCATCATCTTGTTTTTAAAGAGCGAGGCGCAGCCCGTCGTGGAGGTTTAAATATTTCACAGCATGCACAAAGGAGAGGAGATCAGACAAGCTTGCGCACTCCTACAAAAAAAAAAAAAAAAAAAAAAAGTTGGAAACTGCCTTTCAAAATATTCCGGCAATGATGTTTTATGCTTACCAGACATGAGTTAAAAAAAGGGAGATACAAGGCCAAAGATGTCCGCAGCCTGGCGGGGAGCCAAATTTGGGATCTGCAACAAAATCAGAGGGGCGGGTCAATCGAGCATGCTTGGCCACTCCCCCTCCAACGGCCACCACATGACTTGAAGACCTTGAAGACAAAAGAATACCATTAAAAAAAAAAAACATTGATTAAAAAAAAAAAAAAAAAATTTTAAACATTTATTTTGGGATGAGCAGGATGAATAGTACATCGTTAATTGTTATTCTCTTGTGCATAATATATGTGATTGAACTTTTAGGTTGTGCAACCGCGACGTACATAAAAGGCGGCGAAGTGAAATATTGAGATTCTGTATGAATCGGCACCCGAACCAGCACCATGGACAGCGCCGCTGATTGGTCAAGATACACAAAAACTGATATGAGCGCTAACATTTCAAGTCATCCCTGATCCTCATGTTTGATATGTAAACATCAGATATGTTCATCTAAAAACTGCCAAAAAAAAAAAAAGTCAAATTTTTTTTTCTTCCGATTTTTCTCTTTTGTCAAGTCAAAAATAAAATTGTAGAGGACAACGTATTATAAAACATCCGTCCATTATCCAAAGTGCTTTACTCTCAAATGTTTTGTTTTTAATCGCATTAAGGGACCTAAAAAATGGTGATTTTATTCATGATGTGTAATTTTGTTTTTCATTAATTAGCCGATTAATCGGTTATCTGAGATGTATTTGGCCAAATATCAGAATTGGTGTCCCAAAAAAAAAAAAAAAAAAACATCAGTCATGCAGACGGCAATAATTATTTTTTTCACAGTTTGGTCCCTACCCCTCGTGGAGTTGAACTTTTCATGCGTCAAGCTTTATCTCGTTCCTAAAACATCTTTTGAACACATTCTCATCACAGCCTGGTCAATACATCCGGACAGGAAGCCTCCTCAGCCGTCCGTCCCGCTTTCGTCCAGTCCCTCCGCCTCCCGTCCCGGGAGCAGGTTTGGCCTCTCCCAAGTAAACAGGCATTAATCACTCCGTGTGAGGGGAATTGTCTGAGGGACGGCCGAAAGCATTTGAAGGGAGGGGGAGGGGGGGGGCAGAGCGGCAACTGGGGTGCGGGAGATAGATGTTGCGCCGGTTTGTGCGGCCTCTTCTGGGATGCGCGCGGCACCAGCTGACGGGTTCGGCGCGGCCACCTTGCTAAAGTGTGTCAAGGACAAGGAAGGGGAGGAGCTGCAACTTTGGCTCGCGGGGGGGGAATTTGCGGCTGTAATTCGGAGCTTTTGTTTGAGCCACGCACGTCCATTTCCCACCTCGCCCCGCGCACAGTTCCAGGTCTTTGTGTTTATGTATATTTTTGACCCAACGCATGTTTGTCACAATGATTCCGATCAAAATTTAACATCAAAATGAACTCATCAATCTAATCGGAGACAACCCAAGTTTCGCTGTGGCAAATTGGAGCATTTTTCTTCAGGTTGGTTACAGCTCTTTCACTGGCTAGCATTAGACGGTGTCCCTAATGTGGTGGCCAAATTTTAGATTTGAATCAATATAAATTATGAATGTGTTTGGGTCGTTCCAGTCAAGTGTATGCAGCGCTTCAAATCCAATGTAATTATCCAAAGTATGCTCATGACATGTTTTGCGTTTGCGTCGCGCACAAAAGCTTTGTCAGGTGCTTTTTAATTAAAAGTCGGTTGACCAACAATGCCGTCCGTTTCTTTTGGCGACCAACCCGCAACGTGCTTTCTATTAGCTGGCGGAATTATTCAACAAAGAAGAACGGCTTCCCTTCACAATTTCACCCTCACTGCGTTGCAGTTTGTTAACTTTTATGAACTTTTTATACGGCTGCAGTGCGTCTCGGAGCCATTCGGCGCCGTGCTTGTTATGACCGTATCGCACTCAGGGAGACAGCCGGGGGGGGGGGGGGGGGGGGTGAACCATGAGAGATGCTCTGGGGGGGGGGGGGGGGCGTATGCGCCTGCAGGCTTTAAACGGTGCTTTCAAATGTATTGATGCTTTCAAGGGAGCAAAGGAAAGGGATCAATGAGGAGACGTCTGTCGGATTGTGGCGACCGCCGCAGTGTATCGGTTACGCGTTTTATCGCGGCTATGATGTGATCACAGGTGAAAATGGTGCTAGCGGTGCTTCGAGAAAGTATTTGGACACCAACTGGCGGTTATTATGAAACAAAATGGACAGTTGGCCAACCCAATGCTGCTAACGCTAACGCTAATGCTAACGCTAATAGACTGCACAGCCTGGTGATATGCTGTCACATTTAGTTCATATAGTGTCGAAGTTGAATTCCAAGCCATTCTAAATCTTGTTGAAGTCAAGATGGCGCCCGAGTAGGCAGCCGTAAGCAAGTGCTCTCATGAGCCTTGCTTTTTTTGTTGTTTTTGTGTTTGTTTTGTCACTTTGTGTTTGTTGTTACGTCGTGTGGACCTGATGTGGACTTTTTTCAGCATTTTTTGGCCACGACATTCATCAAGGAGGAGACTCTGTGCTTGGTGGTTGCGCCTTCTCGGCAGCATGGGTATACCAGCACTGTTTTTGACTGGGAGGAATGTCGGCGCCAGTTGCTGGACAGTCCCGGGGCGCTTGTGTCTTGTGCCTGTAATGGGCAGCATTTTTCACAGCCCCGCTTTGTTCAGCGGAGAGATCGGTGCTGTTGAACGGTCTGCGGCTGGATGGATGCATGGCTTGAGGAGCCGACGATGAGAAGAAAGGAGC